ATGGTTGGTGGTTTCGGCTTTCGCCGTAACGGCTTGTTGGTTTTGTTTCAGCCACGTGCGTGTGCGTCGGGAGCGGATCCGGACAGCCCCGCAGCCGGCGTTCCTTCACGGGTCTGCAGCAGGCAGGCAGCGAAGCGTAGCGCAGGCACCACGGCACCGCTCGCAGCGCTAGCAAGGAGCCAAAAGAGAGGTAAACTCCTAGCTAGAAAATACTCCAGGCTGTGACATTTAAAACGGTCGGCCGGCCGGGTGCCAGACATCCGGCTTCTCCCTGCACAAGGAACCTCTCCACGCCCCAGACGCACACCAGATTTCCCAAGTTACTTGTGTTAGGGCAGCAAACAGCCAGCACCTGGCCCACACAGGAAGGCCTGGGCACCAACTACTGGTTCGAAGCTCCGGTAACAACCGCGCTGCTCAGCGCGTGCTGCTCAGCGGGCATCCCCCACGGCGGCGCCGGGCACACGGGGACCTCCCCTCCGGACGTGTGCGCCAAGCGCCCTGTTCAGTCCAGGTTAAATACAATCACAATATTCATTCTATTTCTGAGACATGCTTAGCATATTCATGGCTTTCCCAAGAACTAATTAGCATACGTTAACATCTTTCACGCATGTCTGTTGGCACCTCCCACCCTCGGGGGTCCTCAGATGAAGGCTCGTACTCCTCATCACGGTGTCCGCTGGTTGACCTTTGTTTCTGTGCAAACTCAGTTCCAAGATCACGCCTGCCGCGTCCTTCCAGGCTGTTTTGCTCTGGTCTCGTTGCCCTCTTGGTGCCTCCTTATCTCTGGAGCTCGGTGCAGCCGCCCTCCCAAGGCCGAGCTGTCTGGAGAGGAATTCCTTGGGAGTCTCTTATCCTGCAGCTAGCCCAATCATCCACCGCGGCCCAAGACTTGCTTGGGTTTTAATTATCCTGTTATGCCAAGGTTCTGATGACTCAAAGTGATAGCTCACATATGCATCCACTCCATTCTCAGGCGTCAATTAGAAACAGAGGTCAGCACAACTGTTACTGCATTAAATCAGGATCTATGCAGGAATACAAACCAATAATAAAAAAAAAATACTAACAACTAGGAAATATCCTTCAAGCTACTTTGTTATAGTTTCACGTTTCTTATGATCCCTTCCATCACTACTGCTTCCAGATACCTCAGAAAAGCCTCCGAAACAACGGTCAGAACTCCCTTAGGCTGCAGATCTTCCCACCCCAGCGAGCGGCTCAAACTCCACACACGTTGCTCCAGGAGCAGGCTCCAGCGCCGCTCAGCAGCAACGCTCCAGGGTCTCCTGACGCTCCTCTGGGTGCATCAGCCTTGCCGCAGGGTTGGCATTTCATTCACTCCCAACATGTAGTGACACGACACTGCTACACAGGTTGTACTTTACGCAGCCTTTTTCCTGTCCTTAGCCATGAAATAGAGGAGGCATTTCACTGACCAGAATGCTTCTCTCCTCTACACGCTCTTCTGAAGCCGGTAGAAGCAACACCAGGCACGAGCTTTGGGAGAGAAGACGAAGCATGGAGGGAAGGTCAAACTGCAGCCCGCAGGAGGAGAGAACAGCGTGGTCCAGAGCACGCTCCAGCAGCTGAGCTAAGCAGGGCAGAGCCAAACGCCAGGACTGACGGGCTGGGCAGGGCAGGCGTTCCACACGGGACGGCTCCAACACCAGCAAGAAACTTCGGCCAGAACTGATTCTGGGCAGAAGGGTGGAGGGTGACCACAGGGTCTGACAGTATGACTTCTCTACTGCTTTTCAAATGCTGAGGTCTCCCTTGCCTGAGGCACCTTTGCACCTGCAGAGCAGTCGAGCATCAGCCACGTGCTCTCTTTTTTCCCACTGCTGGCACTAAACCCTCGGAGTCAAGACAGCAAACTGGCCAAAGGACGCAAAGTATCAAAACCCCAGTAGCAGAGTTTGTTAGCGCGACACCAGACCTGAGCTGGTCAGCAGAGCTCTGGAATCGCAGCCGTACTCAACCCGGCGCTGCGAAGCCAGCGCTGACCACGAACACGCTGGCAGCAGCACTTGCGCCCCGAGGAGCTCGGCCAGGTACGTGACCGCGGCTCCAGCCCATTTCCAGTTCCCGTAACAACCCTCCGCGCGGTTTGCCATCACCGCCTTCTCCTTACGAGCACCACGCATCCAAATGGCCACTCGGAGCCAGCCCCCAGCTCAGACCTGCATTTGTTTCAGACTCTCAGGGTGAGCAATTATCTTTCGCCCGGGCATCCGCAGCAGCAGGGCAAAACAACTGCATTACAGGAAGCTTTCAGAAGCAGCAGAAGTTAAGAGGCAAAAGCAGAATAAAAACTTGTTGTCTCAGGCCTTATTTCGGCCTCTCCAGTCAGCAATGCTTACTCAACCCGAGAAAAGGCACCCGGACTACCGCTCCCCACAACAGAAAGGAACTTGACAGTAAGTACACACCAAGGTACCACAGGCCAAGGAGTGAGATGTTAATTCCACTGGTGATTAACAGACCGCTTAAATCCGTATCGCTCTCGGACAGAGGGGTTTTGTAACGCGAGGCTTCAAAGGAAGCGAGGACCAGAGGCTCAACTGCAAGTTACGAAGACGACAAACACAGAACTACAGAAAAGGGAAGGCAGAGAAGTTTATTCCAGCAATACTGCTGCACCTCACTTCAGCACAAAGTGTTCGTAAAAGACGACGACCCCCAAAAGTATATAAAAACACATCCACTAAACGGTAATCCTGGAAAAAACCCTTTGATGGAGTAAACACTCCCTCTACTGCAGATGAGGAGGAGGGGTTCGGAGAGAGGGCACAAGCAGAAGATGGTTTCAGTAATGCTGCCCTGGGGCTGCTGCGGGCCGGGGGCACCCCGAAGGCCAACACCACTCAGTACTACCACATACGGCCAGGCACCTCTCCAGCGCGTTTTCGTAACAGAGCTTCTGCCACCCCTCCACCCAGAAAACAGCCTCCGCTCCCGTAGCATGCAACCTGCACCACATCCTCCCACAACAGCCCGATAACGAGGCGGAGAGAGGAACCGCTGCCGAGCCCTTGTCCTCCTCTCACGAGCGCAGGACGGGAGCCCTCACGGCGAGTGCCACTAATGTTAGCGCGTAGGGAAATCTTGACTCCAAGCACCAAAGGGTTACGCAGCGAAAGGCCACGTACTCCTCCGAACAAGCGTCAAAGAGCTGCTCTCCCCTCTGCCCACCCACCCCCCTTCGAGATATTGCAGTACAGAGTCAGTGGTCTGAGTGCTGCTGGCTGCAGCAGAAGTTACTCTCCCAGGGGCAGTGCGAGGTCCTCTATGTCAGGATGTCATGAGCTTGGTGCTCCACCAACATCTCCATGCTCCTCACATCCGTGCACCAGAACTCCAGGCGGTCTTTCATCCCTTTGATCTGCAAGGCAAGCCCACAGTAACTTCAGTGCCTCAACAGCTGGAAATGCCGATCTCCACCTCTGAGGACAAACACCCAAGATGCCAAAGAACTTCTCAAACCCCACACATCTAGAAAAGGTGCTACTAAACATCTTCTACCATCAAAGTGGCAGCTTTTAAACTGAAATGCACAAAAGGAATTGTTTGCAGCTGTATTCCAGACTGATTTTCAGTCTCCTAAAACGTTACAAGGATGAAAGAATTTCAGCACCTTCACCTTTAGCACCCTGAACTTCTCTCTTCCCAAGGCAAGTGTGCCACCTCCGACCCAGAAACTCCAAGGTTCTGTTTCACGCCTTTAGGCCTGAAGCAGCCACGCAGATGTCTGCGTCCGTCTGGAAAACGCAGCCACAGCATTTGTCTTGTATGGTGGCCTGCGTGGCTTTTGGAAGAGGAGCGTCACTAATGTCCTAGCCTATCTCCCGGGAGGTTTGTAACTACTTACTGCAAAACACAGACACAGAACGTGCCACGCACCCGAGGTAAGAGCTAAAGGCGGCAACGTAAAAAGGCACGAGGAAAAGCTGACAGACCTCCCCGCTCCCTGAGCATCCTCAGTAAGCACCACGGAGCCTAGCTCTCAGACAGCGACCCTTCACAGTCCTTATTTTAACCTCCAGGTCACCTCGCACAAGAAAGCAACTTAGTACTGCTGTAATATTCAAGCAGGCCATCACCTGCTGTAAATCCAACACGCGTGGTTGTACCCATGTCATATGCACCCTCTTGTCGACTTCATCAATACTGCCCTTTACCAAGCCTACCGAGAGCGCCTTCATCACCAGCAGTTCCACCTAAAAATAAAAAAAGAGATAATTCAAGGAAACAATTGAGAATCACCCAGCTTCCCCCAAGACAAATAAAAGCTTTAAATGGCACTAGCTTGTGGAAGACTGTTTACTACACACATCAAAATCAAAAGCGGATGCAGCTTCTCTCACATCCATCCTCTTTTAGGTTTTACTTCTGCCTTGAGACTTGACCTCTAAATACACAGGATATTTTATTTTTTTTTTCCTCTAAGAGAGGATTTCCTTTCTGTTCTCTGAAATCCCAAGGAAGGACAAGGTACTTGGAAAAAGTCAACACAGATTTACCACGGGTGAGATGTGCTCAACCAACATGATTGCCTTTTTACATGAAATACCTTGTTCAGGAGTCAAAGGGAGCACTGTGGGTGCCCTGCACCTTTCTTACAACAAAGTGCTCAACAAGACCTTCCACCACATCCTTGTTGACACGCTGGGAAGATACAGAGCGGGCAGCAGGCCCACGAGGAGTGGAACATTTGCTAACCTACCGAGCTCAGACGGTAGTGGTTAGTGGCTTGACTGTGAACAGGCAGCTGGTCAGGAGCAGCGCTCCTCGGGCTGATACTGGGTTTGATACCATTTCCTTATCGTTAAGCTAGGTGGATGACAGTTTCACAGATGACACCAACGTGGCAGGGAGAGGTAGATGTGCTGGAAATTAGAGCCACTATGAAGAAAGAGCTCGACAGACTGGGCTAACAGGAGTCACACGAAGTACAGTGAAGATAAGCATGGAGTCCTGCACCCGAGACACAACGATCCCCAGCACAGAGGTCTGCCTGGCTGCGGTACGCTCCGAACGCACTCAGCAGAGTGGGGGGGGACAGCAAACTGTGCAAAAGCCACGGGTCTGCCCCTGCAGCAACCAAGCGGAGCTGTGTCCTGGTCTGCATCAGCAAGAACACAGCCAGCAGACCAAGGGATGCAATGGCTGCACGCAGCACCTGGAGCACAGCCACAGCACCGTGCCCCAGTCTGGCATCACCCCCTTTCAGCGTAAGCGGGGCACTGCACAACTGCAGAGCGTCTAGCAGAGGGCCACCGAGATCAGGGGGCCGAGAACTTGATGGTATGGAGAAATTTTATCTGTTCAGCCTAGATAGGAGGCGGCTTGGGGATACCTCATCAGTCTTCCAGCACCTAAAAGGCACTAACATGGAAGGTAAGAGGTACTATTATCACAAGGACGCAGAGTGAAAGGACAGGAGACCACAGGCAGGATTTGCTTCAGCGGGGATTCCATCTGGATAACAGCATAAAATCCTTCACCACGAGAAAAACTAAACATCAGTGACACTTCCCCTCGCTGGAAATAGTCTCAACAGCTTGGCAGGGTCCCGCATAACCTAATCCAAAGGCCTGCTTTCAAGAGCCGGTGGGAGCAGATGACCTACAGAGAGCTCCTCCAACTTGTGACAATGACGAAGAATCTTCAAAAAGCTATTCACCAAGAAACACGAGCACCAAGCAGTTAACTCCTTCTTAAAAGAGTTCTCCAAATGCACAAAAACAGGAGAGAACATTTCTGCTTAGAGTTCACCTGGGGGAGCAGGTCTATCCAGCACCTCTAGAGCTTCACAACTCTGGCATTGCTAAGTTTGTCTAAACCTGAACTCACCTCATTCACGGTGACTTTGGCACTTTTTGCAATTTCTTCAAAAGTGAGCTGTCTGTGATTGGCCGGTCGGGTGAAAGTCATCTGAATTCAAGTAAACAGAACAAAAAAAATCCCACATTGTGTTAGTTTTTTCCAGCAGTGTGCACAGCTTCCCTCATGCTGCTCTGCTGAGCTCCCTGTCTGCAGCAGTAACTGCATTTCTCATATTTAATCAAAATACATCGAAGAGAAACACATTTATGCCATCAGAAAGGAGCTGTACCCCTCTCTTCTCCACACACACCCTGCTGCTCCAAGCAGCTGATATCTGAGGCCACAAAACAATCTCCAACTAAAGCAGATCAATCTGTGCTGAAACGTCTCCGTGCATATCAAACACCCCAGATAAAAGAGTACCCATAGCTGGTAAAACCCGTTTGCAGTAAAACACTAGAGGTGGAATATATATATGCATTAACATGCACACATATTAGAATGTGGGTGTGTATAAACATACATTATGCTCCAGATAACTCAGCATTTAAGTTTTTGCAAAAGATCCAGGGCCAGAGAGGTTGATACACCAGTATTATTTGATAACGACACAGCGACAGGAAAGAAACTGTTTAAACGTTTAGGGTTACCTACTGGGGAAAGGATTTTCAGTCCTTAGGAAACTAAGATTCTAAGCGTGTTTTAGAAATCTTTGGTATGCAAGAACATACTCTACGAGTTATTTCAGACACGACCCTCAAGATACAAAGCTTGCTCTCGCCTTCCCCACTTCCACACCCTGCCGGGAAGAGCCCACCCTTGAAAGCCCAGGCCAGCGCAGTACTTGCCTTCCGGCACCACCTAGAGGCCCCACCCGCAGCCAGCCATTGCCATTTACCCCCGCGAGAGAGGGAAGGCAGGCGCCCAGCAAAGAACAGAGCATTTCACAGCGCTGCCCCACCAACAAAAAGCTAGTTGGAGCAGTCCCTTTCCATCTCCCACATTTAACACATCACGGTTCTCAGCTCACCTCCATAAGACATAACAGCTGAATCTTCTGCAGCAGAAGTGATTCATTTGCAGCAAGATCCGGCTGTAAGAGGATAAAATGCAACAAATAAGTTCATTATTGCTTTTTTCCAAGCCCCCCGGGGGAGAACAGCTTGCTACCCACAGCAGTAAGCCCCATGGGGACCTCATTGACGAGGGAGGAGGCCGTTACAACCCAACCAGTACCTGGCGAAGGTGCCGTAAAACAAACGGTAAGAACCACACAGTTAAACACAGCGCTTCACAAGGGAGGCAACCCTTTATCAGAGGCCACAGCCTCGCACATGCGGAGGTGCAAGTCGACCTGTAAATTACTGCTATGTCAATAATTCCTGCTATAGCCAGCGTAGTTAATATCCAGCACCACTGTTTTCCTCAAACTTCCTAGAGCACAAGGGAAAACCACTACTTTACATTGGAAGCAGTTTCATACTAGGAGCGAATGGCATTATGGAAATTAAATCAGAGATTATCTTCCTGTGCAGAACTGCACGACGTTGCTGCTTGCTTTCCCCTTGGAGCACAAGGGATTTCTCTTTACTTCTTTCAATCGGCCAGACACAGAGGGAAGCCAAAGGAAAATTAATGATATGTATCAAGATGAAAGATTTCTACGCTATGATTATAATTATACCAGTGCAGAGTCGGGAATTCTGAAGGTAAAGGCCCACAGAATCCAAGTGTCCTCTGCAAGCACTGAGCCTAGGCCTTCATCAACACGGCAGCTCGCTCACCTGCTGACCCCACGCCGACTTCAGAGCCTGAAACGTCTCGACATTTCCACTGTTGAAGGCATAGAGCGTGTCAATCAGCCACTGCCGATCAGTGCTTCTCAGGGACTCCAGAACGGGGTGCATGAGCTGCAGTACCCAGCCACGACAGCGTTATCAGGGTAAAATCAGGTCCTGATACTCCACAAGTGAAGCAACACAGGATCAACTTACCAGCTCCCCAAAGTTATAAACGCCTTCTCCCAAGAGCCCTGCCAGTCCCAGGGTAAAGGCTCTCTCCTGCTGCTCTGATACTGGAAAAGAAAACCCACAGGAAAAACACAAAACAACAAAAACAGTTTGGATGAAGCAGCAGCCTAAGCCCCATCAACCCCTCCCTCCCCTCCCCTCGGTGCCGGTATCAAATCATTCTCAGCCCTCGCTCCCATCCTCTCCCCCGCCTGAAATTCAGCAGCCTGCAGTGCCACAGCAGCAGCACCTCAGAGCCACTTGTTAGAATCACAGCGAAGGTTTTTGGGAACGAGAACAAACTGTCCCTGCTGGCGGGTCACTTCCCCCCCCGCTCATCGCCTCAGCGCAGCTCAGGAGCAGAACCCTTCTCAGCCATTCCTCTCGTGGGCTCCTCCTCTGCAAAGCCAGATCCTGGCCCCACCACAGCAGGTTCAAAATGACATTGAGAAAACCCATTCTCTGCCAGTGAATTTATTTAGACTGAAGTGATGAAACGAAAATGAAAACCAGGAGTTTCTACGCTTGGCAAAGGAGGAGTTACCCGGCAGATCTTTAACATCGATGCATCCCAGGAAGCGCAGAGCATCCTTGTAGTAAGAGGCATGGTTCCCAATCGTCTGGTAATACTTGCTGGAGAGATCGTAGAAGCGGCTGTGAACTGAAGTCACCCCCGGGAGATTGTTCAGCATCTCCTCAACCTCCTCAATGGTCTCCTAGAGGAGGGCAAAAACCCGTTAGCTACAGGCAAAGGTACACCTCACACCCCTGTGCTCCCGGCCTTCTGGCTCACCACTAAGGGCTACAGCATTCTTGTGTGGTCCAGGAGTAATATCCACTCAGTAGTAAAGCAGATGAGACCACAGCCAAAGCCACTAGCACAGTATTAAAAATCAAGTAATGGCATTCTCCCTTCGCATAGTAGTTGGGTAAAAAACAACCACCCAAAGCACAACCCTGCAGCTATACTTCTATACATAACTATACACACATGCTTTAAACACGCTTATCGCCACCAAACCCACCAAACTTCGTACTTGCTCTAAGAGACAGAGCTGCACTACATGAAAAGAAACTCATCCTGGCTTTAAGAGATGGTTCTAAAAACAGCCAAGAGATAAACCAAACACTTAGCACAGGGTACGACACGCTAATCCAGTTGGCAGCAAACAGCATACACACTGCTGAACTACCTCCAAGCTGCCAAGAGCTGGAAAACGTCACGGTATTTCTCCCCTCTCTTCCGAGCTGCGCACACCAGCAGCTGCAGCGACCAGCCGCGGGCCACCCACAAGCAACGGCACCCCACAGGCTACCCGCACCAGACCCTCATCAGCACTTCAGAGATCTGGCTGTAAGCACTACACACGCATTTTTAAGATGCAAAGCAGAACCACAGGTCCTCCTGGAAATCCCAGGAGCCGCAAATTTGTCAAATTCTCATTCAAAACGGAAGCACAGGCAGAGGCACACCCATGCTGCAGGAACTGCTGGAGTGCGGCGCGGTGCTCCAAACCATCCGAGCGCTCGAACCGCTCGCGTCATCGCCTCACCTTGGTGACCTGCAGGTCTCCGATGTTCAGCTTGAGTGCCCCAATGGCTGTCTTACACAAAATGACAGCTTCATCACTGCTTTTCACCTGCAGTCACACAAAGATATGTGTTCAGACAGCGTTACCCCTGCAGCCAGGCAGACTCTCGAAACCAGACTGTGCTGGCTGCATCTCATTTGCGACCGTGTTGCTGCATTAAAACACAGAGCTGATCACTGAGGAAAGGAGCAGGTATTCTCCAGCCTAAGTCTCAACACACACATCTGCCTCTTCAGCTATACCATATACGCTCATACGCAAAACGATTCCTGTAGGTGGACTACCAGAAAGAGCGATTTCAAAAATACCTTTTCTCGAGTCTTTTCCAGAAAAGTAAGGGCCACATTGGGATCTGAAGCAGAGACAGGGGGAGAAAAAAAAGCAGCAATATCAGGAATTCCCTCAGAACTAAATCTCACTGTAGAAACATATCCTTTTACCGGATTCACAAAGACTAGAATATATTTTTTCTATAGCTTACTGCTATCGTAGGCCGGGCTTTGTGCTCACCAGCCATTTCTCTAGCAAAGCAGCAGACTCGCTATTCTACGTAACAGTAATTATTTAAGCTTTCTGAGTTAGTGCTTTCCTTTTTCAATACACCAGAAATACAATAGCTTAACATTGACGATTTAGCTACTATTAACTAGTGAAGTTTCACCGGCATCAGTCGCTAAAAGTACCGTAAGTACCAGGCAAGGACACTTACCTGTCATCTGTCTGACTACATGAAGAATGATCTCCACCAGGGACAGGGGGTTCACCCTGGAACAAAAAGCTCCCTGTCAGAGCAGTCTCAGTCAACAGTCGGTTACCCAAAAGCTGCATGCAAACAAACTCACCTGTGTTCAAACTCACTGATGAAGTTCTCGTAAAGCTGTAGGCACAAAGATCAACAGTCAGGGCAAAAGGATATTTCCTTTCAGCTACAGCACTCGCTTTTCACTGTATTCCAACCCATTTCCCCAACCCTGCAGTGGGCACCCAACACAGAAATGCCTACGCACCACAGAATCCAGGAGCCAAAAATGGCTCCTTGTAGATAATTCTATCTCTGCAGTCTCCTTCCAGCTGCAAGGAGTGATTCAAAAACTCACATACTAGCAAGTACCACAACACGTCCCGCCCCTGTTGTGAGCTGGCCGGGAGCACAGCTTCAATTATCGCCGTACAACAAGCACAGGCCCAAAGCTTTCAAACGCCTCTCTGCACACATTCGGAAGAGAGACCGTCTCTAGAAACCCACAGCTCTTTATCAGGGCAGCAACTATCTCCTAAGAAACTGAATTTTAACCTAAAAACACCAAGGAGAGCAGAAGTACACGATTACTCGCAGCATACAGACAACATGCGACTCTGGGCTGAGTATGCCGTTAATCTCCATAACTGGAGGAAGGTCCCAGGCAGTGGCTGAAACCACCCACCGAATGCTTTCAGGCACTCACAAACACCTGACAGTCCACCCTACACTCGCATTGTAAGCCTCTTGTTACAAACAGGAAAAGAAAAGGCTCCCCCTGCACCCCTTTCCCCCCAGATCTCAAGTGAATGAAACCCAAGAAATGCTTGGGAGCTTCTAAAATTGACACACTTAATTCCAGCAGAATTTTCATACGCGAATCAAACCCTGCAGGCTCACGTTTAGCACACAAACCCCGGAAAGCTGGATTCACCTAGCTCAGTAACTCTCCACAGACAAGCGACAGGCTGCTCGTTTTTTGCTGGCACAAACACACCCCCGCTCGCCTTCGCGACGGGGAGATGCGGCCCCTGGGCAGGGCCAAGCGCCTCACCTTGATGAGCCCATCTCCCTGGGCAAAGCACGGGTCCTGAACGAAGTCCAGAACCTGCAGAGTCAGCTGGTGCCAGAGCCTTGAGAAAGAAGAAGGGCATTCGGTGAGCCCGCGCATCAGGCCGGCTCCGGATCCACCCCCCGATTTTTCTGCCCAACTA